CAATAGCATGCATTGACATACCACATGGAAAATATAATTAAGATTAAAAATAAATATTGTCTCTTTTGTATAGGTAACTATATAATTTTGGTACTGTATAATATGTTTATCATACGTAGTCGAATATTAGTGAAATAATGATCCACTTCAATTTTAAGCGATTGATGTTTATGGTGAATACTGATATATGATTACCACTCGAAGAGGTGCAAACGTGCAGTTCAACACTAATTTATGCACTCGCGGCAAACGGTGTAACTTTTTCAGTTTGATCGAATATTTGAAAATCGTTGAAAATCGTTCCACGCAGACGCACGCAGATTAAAAGATCGGTGGCAACCGTAGGTACGAGTTTTCAATTAAATAAATGACCGACAACGGAATATATCGTGGTTACCGGATTTGCGAGTTGGAATAATGGAATATAGGTACCGTAGTACCTATATGCATGGTGTACAAGTGTAAACAATATATTATATTTTATGGATAGTGGTCGCCGAATTTAAACCACCCGGCCTTTATACTATAGCTCTCACTAGTCTCACTGGGCGCGATACGATTGCGCGCGGTCCTTATCAGCGGTACCTTTTTAAGCGTACGATTGCGCGCGCTATATTATTTTAACTTTTAAGCAACGTTGCCAAATATATAGGTCCATGGTAAATCCGTAGGATACCATAGTAAATTATAGTAGATTATTTATTACTTATTTTTGCCGATATTAGACAAACTTCCCATCACTAAAGAATGAATTGGTTATATTATCAAAAATATTATCTTTATTGTAAATGTCCATACATGTACGAATATACCTATACTATAATCGTGCATGATGTGACTATATCAATTAACTATCAGTTGTGTTCGGTTCTAATAATAGTTTTAAAACAAAAATGTGTTAACTATAATATTATATTATTTATTTTTAGGACTACAAACGGGGCTGAAAGTTTCCATAGTACATATAATGCACAGTTTAATAGTGCTCATCCGCCAATATTTGTCGTTATAGCTACCCTTATGGAACCTCAGGCAGAAACAGTTACCAAATTATTAACCATTTCCAAAGGTATAATAAAACCAAAATCGAATGAAGAATCAAGGAAAATTGAAAATTTGAAAAATGAACACAAACATTATGTAAACAATAAAACACCAAAAAAATTTACTAAAGTATTTGGTCATAGTTGGAAATAGGTATCGGGGGTTTAAAATTTAATATAAATATTGATTTACGAGTATTATATTTTTTCAATTATTAAATTTCTTTATTTTGTATTATTTTTTTTAACTTTTTTTATTTTTTATTATTTACGTTAATTTTTTAATTTTTTTTTAAATAACATTTTTTTTATATTATTAACTTTTTGTATTTTTATTATTTACGTAATACATTTGGCAACGTCGCACCCAATTTCACGCGCAATCGTACGCCTTTGAGTAATTAAAATGTTGTCTTTTGTTATTCGGGCACTGCGCGCAATCGTATACCTAAAAAGGTAAAACGCGCGCAATCGTACTCCGCCGGTCTCACTTAACCTCTCAAAACTCTAAGTATAAATCATAATATCGAGGTATTATATTATGTTGTAAGACGTATTCAAATTGTTGGGATTCATCCTTCGGTCATCGAGTGATTTCCATCTGGTATATCGCCTCTCAATAAGCACTTTATTGCACCCCCTTATGCGCCCTATCCTCGAATATCGTATAGGCGGTATAGCGTTCTCTTGAATCCATGCACTAACTGTGTATACGCAATTCTATATGGTTGAAAGAGTCCTGCAAAGGCTATTCCAACGTTACCCTCAAGACTCAAACATCCGGATGACACCCCTGTAGGCTGTACAGATAATGCACAGATTACAGAACCTCTAAAATCTTTCAAACTAAAGGCTATTATTGCTGCTAATGTTTCATTTCTCGTTTTCACTGTTGATTTTTATGCAAATGTATCTGATTACCTACTAATAATTTGTTGATATCAAATATCTTATTATTTTCTCCACCAAAAAATAATTCATACTGTTATTTTTTTAAATTTAGTAAATATGTAAATGAAAATATATATACTGTTTAATATTATAGTTATCAGTAATGATTAATGATTAAATTCAAATTACTTTTTGAACTAAATGTATTAAAATTTATATTAGTCAATTACCTAATAAAATATAACGTTTCAATATTATATATATAAAAATGGTGCTCTGCTGTACAGTATGTTACAAGTGGGTCACTGTATAATGGATGGTATTAAATTTGAAATCAATGTTATAATATCATTGTATAAGAAAAACGATTCTGAGCGAAAACGGTTAGTCAGCCTATGATATTACGAAGTATATTTGATGATACTAAGGTGAATATAGTAATTTATATATGACCTATTTACGTAGAATCTTGTTTTAAATTTTTAATCATAAGCTATAAAAGTTGAACATTTTATAAATTTTGAACTACAAAATTATTATTAAATTTTAAATGTGATAAATGTTGTCAACATTTTAACTTTAAATGCTTATAAAAAAAAATTGTGCCAATGTATTTTTAATATTTTTCAACTGATATTGTAACAATATATTAGGAGCCTTCTATTAAATTTTTAAGCTTTTGTACCCAACAAATAACATTTTATTGATATTTATAGAAAAAAAAATGGAAACTAAAAATGTCCGTAAAAAGCTCAAAATAACTCAAAATATTTGGAAAATTGTATCATGTATAGAAAAAAGAAACATAAACAACTATTATTAAACAACTACAATAATTTAGATAATCCTTGGATTTAAGATATAATATTATTACAAGCTCTGTGAATAATTATATTATATAACTGTATTAAAAATATGTTGTATACAATCTAATATGTTTTTTTTTTTTATAAAAATATACATTATATTAAAATGATAAATTGTATAATTATCTTTGATACCTAGGTAATATTATATTGTACTATTTAATATTAATGACTTAGGTATCTAATTTTTTTAAATAATATAGCAGACTACGGCTTAGCTACGTATAAATAATTAAAGACCTTGTAGCAACAATAAATGTTTACATATTGAAGATCAAAGCATTTACAATGTGATGTGTGCTGTTTTAAGCCTTGATATTTGGTCCGTTACATAAGTTGCCTGTACATTCAGGACGGAGAATAGTTATATTGAACAATGTTATGGTTCCATGTCATAATATCTTCGAAATAATATCTTCGGTCAAAATATCTTGATCAAAATATCTTTTGTGAAAATATCTTATGACAAAAATGTATTCGGTTAAAATATCTTTTAAACTGATTTTTTAAAAATGTTTATTCATATTATTTATTTATTTTATTTTTATAAATATATCGTGTACTTACAACATTATTTATAATAATTGTTTAATAATATAGTGTTAGTAATTAGTATGATCCTTATAAAAATATTATTGTAAAAAAAAACATAGAAAAAATTATAGTTGAAAAATTACTATAAAAAAGTATTTGTAATTAAATAAATAAATAAAATAATATGAAATATATAAATACCACTTGTAACACTTTGCTCACAATACATACCGCCGGAGGTCTTCCGACGTATATTTGAGTATAATAGAGATTAATTGATTACATGAATATAAATTAAAAAATTAGCTTAAAAAATATTTTGACTAAAGACATTTTTGCCGTAAGATATTTTGCCACAAGATATTTTGACTAAAGATATTATTTCGAAGATATTTTGACCGGTCACCGTCATCTTGATTTATTTTATATACTTAAACAGTTATAGCGACCACTTGCTAAAGCTTATAGAATATAAATTCGTATTGTTGATGTTCCTCATATAGGGCCATCTGCCTCAAATTCTTCTTGCATTAATTGTATTAAAAGTATTAAACCTACCATTGTCGTTATTATATCAAATTACTTGAAAATGTTCAAAGTCAAAACAAAACATTGATTGTTAATTTTTTATTATAATATTAAAATCTAAACGTTGCGTAATTATTTATGTTGAAAACGTATATTATATAATGTTGATTGGACCATCTCTGAGTGTAACTACTAATAATATTAGTAACTATATATAATATGACATATTTTACACATTCATACTTTATTAACATTTAATTGTTTATATATTATACAATTTGTCAGTGATATAGGTTATATTAATGACACTTATCTTAAGCATGTCAAAAATTCGTTTTATTTATCTAGAATATTTTTTTAACAATGTGTTTAAAGTGCTTGACTTTATTAAATACATTTTTTCTGAGTTTTGTGGTTTCTTGATCGCACATGACACATTACTATGATGTGATCATAGTTCACATAAATCAATCATGTTCTAAGATCATTCTGCATTCATCAATGAAGACCCGTTGTTTTAGTATTAATTACAATTTCAGTATTTGAAAACTTCTTTAGCGGAGTTGTGCACTTTTTTGTGATTTGTAAAAAATGTTAAACTAGCTTCAGGACACGTAAGACCATTATGCGAAAGAAAAATAATCATAGGTACCTACTTCTAGAAGTCCAATTTTAATTTTGAAAACTAATTGAATTCAATAACTTCTTTTCTATGTTTTGTAGGAAAAACTTTTCATTTTTTAAACTTGTTGAACCTTTAGTACAAGTTCATTTTGAGAAATTAAGTAAATTAATTTGCAACAGTACCTACTACTACTGTCTACTACTACTACTACTACTACTACTACTCTACTATTACTTTTTTTTTTTATTATTCTATCTTATCGCCGGACTCGGGGGAGGACTGCCTTTGCTCTGCTTTCCCTCCGAGCCGCCATCTTTTATTTATATAATCAAGCTTTATACATTTTTACCTTATACTAAACATTCAGCATTCGACATGTATATACAATAGATATGAAAATCAAAACATCAGTAACATCACCACATGATCTTAATTTTAACAATATTACAGGTCTGTGCGTTGCACCTGGAACTATTTTTCACCTGTAATTTGACATCCATTTCTCAGACCGCCTTACACTTCTCGTTCTATCTCCTCAGCCGTTCCTTTTCTTCTTTGGTCCCCAGGATAAGAGTAACGTACCTTTCCACCGCTTCCCAGTTTCCCTTGCTGTGTTATGTATATTGGAATTATCGTTTCTGGTGAAACGACTTGATCAACCGCGGCTTCCAGATCTGCTATATTCCTTGCCCACCGACCACATTTAAAGAACTCGTGTTCCGCATCGTCAATATTATCTCCACAGGATAAGCAATGTGGGAATTCTGCACGGTCAAATCTATGTAGTTTGGCCTGGAAGCAGCCATGTCCCGTCAACATCTATGTCAGGTGGTAGCTTGTCACACCATGTGCTCGACTTGCCCAATCGCTAATTCTAGGTACGAGTCGCTTTGTCCACCCACCTTTATCCTTTTCATCATCCCGTTCCTGTTGCCACCAACTCCACATATTTCCATCAACCATGTGCCTTGAGTCCTTTATCCCGTTTTTTTGCAGTCGTCTTAGCTCACTCCGTCTACTCGCCATAAGGTATACAGGAGCGATGTTGGCCACAACCAATATGGCCACCGTGGATACCGTTCTATACGCGCTGGCGACTCTCAAGGCTATTGCTCACTGGGTGCCTAGCAGTAACTGTTCATGGTTATGGAATATTAGCGATGAGCTCCACACGGGAACCGCATACAACAGTTGACTATGAACCACTGATGCGAGTAGCTTCCTTTTTATTGGCCTCGGGTCTTTAACATTAGGCATCAAGCGGGAAAGAGCGACCGTTGTCCTCAGGGCTTTGTTGAGTGCCATTTGGATGTGTTCCTTGAATCCGAGTGTTGAACTCAGCTCCACTCCCAAATAACGCATTTGTCCTTTTAACTCCAAGGTATCGTCTTGTAGCACAAACTGTGAGTGTCTATATTTTCTTTTTGTCGTCATCATGATAGCGACTGTCCTGTTTACCGATATCGTCAGTCCATTTCTGCTCATCCAGTTGCTGATTTGTTTTAACGCAGTGTTAATTGAGCCTCTATACAACAACCGGTTCCCACTACTGCAAACCCAATAACTCCTTCGGGCAGTGTTAGGTGCAACAGATCATCATAAAATATATTAAATAGAATAGGGCCAACTATACTGATCCTTGTGGTACCCCACATGCAACTACCTACTACTACTACTAAATAAATAATAAATGAATATTGTATTTTAGCACATAAATTATAGTACTTTTATACTGATAATTAAAGCAATTGTGCAAAATTATTCCCTAACCATTCCAAAATATCAAAAATGCACGACTTTAATATTCAAGTTTTTACTTCTGCCGGCACTCCTGGAGTGCAATCCGTCTGTTTTTTTTTTTATCCATATTTACGTTTGTAATTATTAATATTATAATATATAAACTATAAGGCTCCTTCAAAAAAATTCACTTATAATTTATAAGTTTTCAAGTAAAATTTAATTACTTTATACAATGTTATATTGTTTTATCATATTGCTTTGAAAATATCTCATATTTTATATATATGCTGGGGTAGGTACCTCAATAGAGAATGAGCCATCGCGTATTTCGGTCTTACATGTTCATAATTAAATAATTACCCAATACCTATAATTGTTTATTATTTTCGTAAAACCGTTTTTCAATTTTCATTTTAGTTTTTATTACATTTCTTCAATGTTATATTTTACTTGTATTGTCTCCAAACTCCACTTCCCTTCTCTATTCGAGAAACTGAACAATGCCAATATATTTTTAATAGAATTTGTTATAGAAATATATTTTTATATTGCGCCATCAGTTCATATATATTTTCTTTATTTTATTAACCTTTCGGCTATCGTCCTTTTTTATTCGATACATTTTCAATATTTCCTTATTCGTCATTGGAATAGCTGTATAAACTTGCATTTTATTGAAATTACTTTTTAGTTCTTTCACATATCTTTTTGAAGTACCTACGTATATATCATTACAGTACCTATATTTCTAGTGAACAAATTATTATTTCTTTTATCTCTGAGTTAGGTAATTCTGACAAAAGTCGTATAATATTTATACATAAATATAAAGATGTTTCCGAAAACTTTAATGTATGCAATATAATATTATTAATATCATAAATATAATAATCATTGATAATTAATATGGATAAAACTATAAAATCACTGTTGGGAAATGTGACTGAAACATCTTCCATGAAATGTAAAGTAATCATTGACAATCGTATCATTCATTTTTCCAACGTTTTTTTGTGTGATTATATTTTGTTTCTAGGCTATACGGATTGATCTATTTAACGTAAGACACCCATCATAAGGCAGTCTTAACCTTGTGTTAAATGGATCATTCTGTATAGGTATACTATGAGGTTGAAACTCAAAAGACATTCCTTCCAATAATTAAAAATAAATAATATTTTCCCTTCTCCCTTACAGCTATATCCAAACAGTGAAATTTTATTTCTAGTTCAAAGGTTTTGAATCACTAATATACGTTGAATAAAAAAAAAATACAAAATATTGGTGAATAACATTGATATTATTAAATTTTAGTGACAAATGGCGATGCTTTTGGAGCCGTTGAGCCATTGTTAACAGAAGATTTGTTATTTTATATTCTTAGAATATGTGTTAAATAAAATAAATCGGATATTCGGATGGCTTATAGAATTGATGGTCACTGACAATGCGCACATGTGACGGTGGTTAAGTTTTACTTTTAAGTTTCAAATCATTATAATACTTACGAAATAAAATATACCATAATATACGCCAGTACTGACTTGCTTCGGTCACGAATAGACTTTATTTTTATTTTTTTTTAGGTAATTATTATTCAATAACTCAGTGGTTCTCAACCTTTTTTTGTTCGTGGTATCCAAGGGTGTTTCATAAAAATCCCGGGTCACCCCACAAACTATATATAGGTAATATGTGTAGGTGGGTGCATTATATTTTCAATAATTTAACGGCCCACTGGTTGTGAACCACTGCTGGTTAACTATGTATCAATGTATCTAAAAAATAATATTATAATTTATAGCTCAACAAATAAAATATACGTGACAGATATAATTATAATAATACCTATCATAATATAAATTATAATTTATGTTATGTATTTATATCGTAGTATATATATTATATATTTATATAATTATATCAACAGTATCTATACATTTACATAATTACATTATCGTCGATTACCTACTGTAATAATTAGTGATTACCATAAAAAATGATTAGAATGAGACTTTAATGAGATACGCGATAAGAAGTAGCAGTGTATTTATTTTTTCTAATTTTCTTCGTATAGTACATATCACATAATATGTATGATAGAGTCATCTAATAATATGTATGTTGAAGAGATAATACTTTAAGAGAGTGCAATATATTTTGTTTTCTCTCTCAAGCCCACGTACAATATAGAAAAAAAGGCACTCCCGATTCACATACACAGAATATAATTTTTTTAATGTTTTTGAGCCATCTTAGAGAAAAATCACATAGGTATTACAAAAATTATAGAGAATAGTATTTTGATGAGTGGAAATAACAACTTTATAATATTTTATAATAATTTTACTTCGTATCTACTAAGAAAAATGAAAAAAAAATTCGCAAATCTTAATGTAGACACATTAAATTGTTTTGAGACAATATTTAGACAAATTGATTTGTAAAACCGTCCAAAATATTATTCTCTGTACTACAAGTATACAACTATTATTGTAACGGATGATTTTACACTAAATGATTTTAGACCTAAAAAAAATAATTTTGGAAGAATGCGTTTTGTGTGTGACCTCAAGGCCGTATCTGAGGGGACCACACCCCGAAAAAATGTCTGGATATGGTCTTGTGTGAGCTGTGAGAGTAAAAATAGTGCCCCGACATTCAGTATAGACCTAACAAAATAGTGTATTATTTATTGTGCATTTTAAGCGAATCTCGCATTTAAAAAACGACTCCGTGCAGACCTTGGGTATTTGTTTATTTTCTCGGAAGTTTTATAGCGTACATTAAAAAATGTAAGAGATTTTCAAGACATACAAGTCGCGTGTTATACATATTTTATATATTTTCCAAGAGCGTCCCTCTCGCATTGGGGTATGGTTGGGCGGACGTATGGACCCGAATTTACGCCTAATTCGATCGGGAAAATAACCCGACTGAGTGAGGAACGGTTTTTGAAAAATATTTTCCTTTCCATTTTACAAACTTCAAAAATGTTAGAACTGCCTGTATACACACTGAGTGGGAAAATTTCACTGCTAGAGCCTCAATTGCTGAACAATTGTGCTCAATTGGGCGTATAAATTATCGAACGGAATTCGGCCATTTAATATTATAATAATATATTATTCCAGATCATAAGCTGAACCTTATGTTATAAATATAATATTGCCGGTTGGGTGAATAGGCAAATTCCTATGGTCACGATTCTGTTATTAATAATATCGTAACCGGCGACAACAATGACGATGATAATAGTATTATTAATATTGTCGTAATATTTTTGAACGACATTACGTGCCGCCGCCCGGGCTGCGTGTGTTTACAGTTTACGCGCGCCACGCACACGGCTGGAGGCGGCGCGGAGTTCGATACCTCGATCTGACCATATTCTATGTTCTGACCGATCAGGATCAGCTGCTTTGTGAATAATACGGATCACACCGACATGGCGGACGCGGCGCGACACGATACAACACGAAACGACGCGATCGGCAAGAGCGCGGGGTCGTGTACCTCCTGGTACATATTTTACGATAGGTCGTGCAGTGTACCGCTGTGCGCGTGTGCGGCGGATAATAATAATATCGCGCGGTGGGCCGGCGGTGGTGGGGAATATCGGGTGCGGGCGTGTGCGCCTGTGCGTTTTTGTATGCGAGTAGTGGTGTTGGCGTGAGTGTGTGTACTGTGTGTACTGTGTGTGACGACGAGTACGCACTACGCAGCGGCAGCGCCACTGTTGACTGTTTTTATTATTGTTGTTGTTATTATTTTTTTTTTGTTCCTCCTCCTCTCACACCGTCACCATAGCCGTGCGTGCGTGTGCGTATCGGCTGAGTCTTCTGCGCGTCACCGTCCTGTCCGTATGCGTTGAGCGGTACTCGTCGCGCACATAATATTGTTATTATTATTATTATTGTTGTTGTTGTTGTGGCGCGGCTGCTGATAAAACCGAGTGAAAAGTGGAAAATTAACGACCCAAAAAAATCCCTCAGTTTCGTAATAACCATAATATAAGTGTCGCCACCGGAGTACCCCCGACGACCGTGTAATCGGGTAGAGCTGGGTGTGCGTTCCCGACTTTCCGAGGCATTTTACATTCGTTTCCCGGACGCCAAGCGGTGCGCGCTCCAGTCGAAAAAACCGTGCCAAGACCGTGCGATCACGCCGCACCGCCGACAGGTTTGAGGTTTCCCGGAGACACTTTTGCATCGAACGAAAATGGATACGTTGCGCGAACAGGTGATGATCAACCAATTCGTGCTGGCCGCCGGATGCGCCAGAGACCAGGCCAAGCAGTTGCTGCAGGCCGCCCATTGGCAATTCGAGGTAAGCCGCTGTTCGCGTTATGATATTTTACGGCATTATGATTCCGTCGGCGGCCTTTGTCGCCCGTTAGTAGGTACAAGGGTACAACGCCATCGTTGCGGACGGCGTTGTTCGTGCGACGTCGTCCGTCCCGTTCGCATCGTTCTCGGCGTCGTCGACGATGACAGACACCGTCGATCGATGTAAATCAAAATGTTATACATCGTTTATCGCCCAACTCAAGTCTTACCCACCTGGGTATATCGTAGTGGCTCTCACGGTTTTTGTACCCCGTGACCTTGAACTCTAAGCGACTACTCCATCGGTGACCATCTTCATAATAAATTCCTTTCTCTACTCGTCTCTGTTACATTTTCCATTCTTCTCCGAGTCAGCCTAATGCGGTGGATAAAAATTTGATACTGTGTGCAACGCATTATCGCCATCTCTCCACCTTAACCTTATCCTCTAATGCTATCAAATCCTTCCCTTGTACAATAATTAACGTTTGTAGGTACCTTCCTATATCAACACTGATTTTTAATTGCTAACCTTGCTAAATTAGAAAACACGGAAAACACATCACATTCATTTGTGTACCTACCTATATCTTATTAATGTTTTCATGAAATGCGATGACGTAAATTTATGTGTATTAAGCGGTTTAATGATTCGTTTATGCTTGTTAGACATTTGTCTCTTTCATTTTTATTTACTCCACCATTTGTTATATTATAATGCTGTCAATCGGTGGTAACTTAACCAGCTCGATGCGACATTCGAGAATTTTTTTCAGTATGAGCAAACAAATATAATTTTATCTATTCCCGTAACCTTGTCCTCTAAGTTTGTTGAATCATTCAATTTTATGATAATACTTGCATCTATGTCAGACTGTTTCAAATTTTCTTAATGAGACAAAAAAAATCGTACCCACCTATTCATTGTGTATTTATATATGTTTTGAATGTTTTTGCTAAATTTCATGACGTCAAAATATTTTATTACTGACATTAAATTCAACAACAATTTGAATAAAACAACTACAATCTCCTAAAAAGTCTTAAAAAGATTACGGTTAGGTATCAATTCTTATAGTACGACCTATGACAACTAGGAACCTAATTACTGAAAAAAAATTATCAGATAAACCTAGCTGTTACTACCAAATATTTATCTATCCTAGAGTTATGTTGTACAGAATTGTAAGTAAACATCGTATAATATAATCTAAGAAACTAGAAGATCTCATCATTTTAACAATCACAACAAACACATTATGGTCTTAGGTACTATTGATAAAATAAATACTTTCTATACTATTTACGTTAGTAAGTTATTGTTTAGATTAGCTTTTGTTTACATGTTAACGATAAAATGGTTTAAGTACCATAGATTCTTACATTCTTGCAGGTGTAAGCACATTGGATTTATATACAAATATCAATGAATCTAAAACTATTTTAACGCCATCATGTAAGCGTAATAAATGTTATTATTCTTGTAAGACAATTTGTCATTTGAATACCTTGAATATTTTGTTATTTCAGACTGCATTGAGCATATTTTTTCAAGATTCTTCTGTATCAAGTTGCAGTCAAAATTCAGCACAGTTTGGATTTGGACAAGTGAGTTGTTTCTATTGAAAATGAACAACAGCATTTTAATATTTGCATTATTTTTTCAGATGACACCGTGTAATACTCCTGCTACGCCACCCAATTTCCCTGACACTCTGATTGCCTTTTCACGTATGACAACTTCATCCGAAAACTCAAAATTGGGATCATCACCGAGTGAGTATAATTATAGAATAATGTCTCAGCAGTAGATCGCCCTACATTATGTGATACAAATGTAAATTGAATTTATGTTTTTATTTGATTACATAATGTTTTTGATTCTCCATGTTTGGCTTTGAGCTGTATTATACCCAAACTTCTGAACAATACTCTTGATGCCCTGATTTATTAGCCTCTGTCTCCAACAATGTTCTCCCACAAGAAACAATCACTATTTTATATTCAGACTCATCTCCTCACCTCTTATGGACATAACCAGCCACTCTACAGAATGTTACGCCGGCTTAAAACAACTTAGTTTTGTGCCTATTAATTTTTCTATTACATCTACTGATGTATTTTCATTGTTAACTGATGTAACCAATGCACCTTGGGTTTTCTAATCATCAAATAAAATAAATAATATCATTGATTATGTATAGAAATTAGAAATAGATACTAAATACTAGGGTCCGGACAGTTGCATATATACATATATTTTTTTTTAATGTCTTAAATTATGCTTTTTATTGTTAAAAATGTGATTCAATAATTTATAAATCTAAAAAGCTAATTTTTGTTTTGCATTTGAAGGTAATTTTGAACTATTCTTTACTTATCGAGAGAAAATCATGATTTTATTATATTACCTGTGCATAATATAATAAACTAGTATGAAAATGATTAACTGTTGCTTGAATCTTAATGCATTTTAATTTTAGCTTAATTAAATAATGAATAAACTAATTTATTTTTGAATTGAGTTCCCTCAATTATTATTGAAGTAAATTGTTCATCATTAATCCAATATATTGAAACTAAAACTTTCATAGTTTTTTTTATATATTTATAAAATAAAGTTATGAATAAAAAATAATAAGTTATTATCCACATTATTTTTTTTCTTTGTAAACATTAATTACATATTATTAATTACTCTTGTGTTAAATAATAATTAAAATACTTAATACAAATTATTTGTATTGTATGTTCTAGGTATGTCTGTTTCTCCTCAAAATAGAACCTCATTAGAAAACAGTCAATCCAAGAGGCACCCATATGCACGTTTAGCGCCAAACACAGTTTCAAACAACACATAGGGAACAATCATGTACATTTGTTACTTTTAATATAAACTTAGCCATATTATTGTTTTAGTGTCCACTAATGACACATGCTTTTTGTAACTTTTTACTCTAGAATTATATTGTTTAGAAATATTTTATCATTTGATTGTTATTATATATATATTATCATTTTTTTTTTTTTTTGATTTACTTTTTTTTTTTGTTAGAAGATATTTTCAGTAGAATAAGTAATTTATGAAACGTATAATAAATACTCAATTTAAAATTTAATTTAATATTTTGTAATCATAATTCAATTTCCATCAAAAACCACTCTGTTACTGCAAGATGCTTAACATAATAATTATATTTGTTTTTGATTAAAGAGAAAGATCAAACTTGACATTATTTTTTTTATTATTATATATATTTTTTTTATATACATAAATAATTTATATTATAATAGCTAATATCTTATTTTTGTTTGTACAACTCAAAATTTCATTATGACTGCGTACCGATTATAACAAATATGTTACACCAAAACAATAATAATATGTTCCAACAGTGCATAATATGAAACATAACTGTTGTGGTATAATTACTAAACTTATTATCATTAAAAAAAAATAAAAAAATAATTGTAATAAAGTAAATACATTATTTTGTTTGAAAATTACGTTTATTTTATTCTATCATTGTCCCATTATCGACGTGTGTTTCCAGTTAAACAATTTCGTATAGTCATCGCTCGTCATGCCCGTATAATATTGTGTTTTATCACACATAAAAACTACATCAGACGATATTATTAAGTGCGTGTGATGCGATTGCAAAATGTATAATAGCTTGAAAAAAAAAATAAATATTGTGTAAAAATAATGTTGCACGTTTAAAATATATTACAATATTTATTACTTAGCTAAGTACCTACCTATAGTTGTAAAGTGATATATTTAATTTCGGTTTTATCATTGCCCCGTTGAACGATCGTGTAGTCGGTTCATAATATTTACGTATAGCAAGCACATAATAGTACCATGATGTATCTTGAACACAATAAATATATAATCTAATAGCTATAATAGTGGCCAGTGGGTAATCGTTATGTTGTCCTCTCTCACACTCTAACCGTGTGCGGTAAAAAAACAAAAACGACTCTGCACGTAATTGGAAAATTAAAAGTTGTTCGCGTGCGCAATTTTTATCAAGTAGTACTTAAGCAAATATCGTCGTCCGAAGGACGTCTGGTAAACCGTTTTGAGTCCGGTCTGTGTCGTCACAGACAACAGTGGCTTTGAGACCATAATAATAAACATAATATCCGCATATTGTATTTACTCCGTATTACTTAGGCACGCATACAACATGCAGCAAACTATACATTAATAAGAAGTAAGAACACATTTTAGTATTTTACTCTGTAATTTTTAATTTTAAAATTTAGAGTGATCTAACTTATTGTCTATTGAGGCAGTGTTGAGACTTATCTAGATGAAAATTTCATTATCTATTATTTTATGTAGATTAAAATCGAGTATCTACTGGTAGTCTTTTTATTTATCCTAGATGAAAATCTCAGTTATCTATAATAATTTATCTAGATATTTTTTTATGTATAGACATTTATTTAATATTACCTACAGTATAATAATATACATTTTTACATTTTGTGTTCGAAAACCATAATATTATCCTACTATCGATACTATATTACTAATATCAATTGAAAATTTCGAGTGATTATTTCGAGTGATAACTCGATTATAACAATATCACAGAATAGATTAAATCTATTCTGTGACAATAGCTTTGTTCGTTTTGACAAAAAGTGTACACTTTTTCATAATAGTGTACACCTGAAGCGTTTGTTTTAGAAAAGTGTTGGCGTACACACTGTTTGTTTTGAAATAGTGTGGGTTTGGTGTGTACACTATCCACACCAACTAAAGTGCAGGTGTCGTACTTGATTTTTGGTGTGGAGCCAGTTATTATCATAAATATATTTCCTTATCACTCGCTACATGCTGAATTGCTGACTGCCGAGATTAGTTTATACATTCGTATTTATAATTTAAATAAAGCACTATAAATGAATAATTATGTATTGATTTATATACCTTCATCATCATTAGAACAAAAAACAGTGGCAGGAACTTTACGTGCATCACTAACTTGTTCTAAAACAGTCTGATGACGAATCAAAAAACTGCATATAAATATCATCCATAATTTTAAAATCTATTAATCTGTTATTACAATTACAACTATTTAGAAATAATTTCTAATTTCTTATTTCAATTATTGGAATTTTAGATGATTGAAAATTTTATAAGTCGTTATCAATTATCATTTAATTACTATCTTTATCAATGAGCCGACTCTCACACCTGAAACGTTTGTTTTAAATTGGCACACCACACACCATACCCAACACTTCTACACTATAGTGTTAACATTTAGTTTTTAAAACGAACAAAGCTAATATATCGATTACTAATAACTCGATTATAGAAATAATTCGATTATGCCCATCACTAATAATAATTTAATTTATAATAGAAAATATATTATATGGTACCTACTTTTAAATAGTATATTTAATATTATATAGTATGAACAAATTCCAAGTAGGTATTCATAAAATATAAAATATATACAGGTAATCTTGATTCTTGGTAGTATATGGTAGTATTCTAGTAATTATAATAATCTAGTCGGTATTCCACAATTTATTATTGGCTGTGGCGTACATTACTGATCGGCTGTGGCCTGTGGCGGTAGAAAAACAAGATAATTTATATAATGATAGTACCTATTAATGTTATAAAAATATAATATATTGTGTGGCAAGTACGGAAAGTGAGCTATTTGACTATTTCAGTCGCGGGCGAGGGCCCCATTTCGCCAAAGACTGAAATTGCCTTCCCGCACGAGCCACACATACTATTTTTTTTTCACGCCTATAACGATATGTGCGCCCGGCACTTTTGGGAATTTCCAATTTACCGCCCCGCACTTTTTGGAATTTCCACTTTACCGCCCGGCACTATTAGGGATACCACCCTCTGGACGGAAAAAGGACGCTTTCCAACGCTTCAACCGCTATCGAAAACCAAATTTTCGGTGCAGGGCGTGACAAAAAATGTATTATAGCGTATTTCTGCGTATACTGCTGTAGACAAATTATTCTATATACAATATACATTAATACATTATACCTACATAATATATATAAAACGGTTTGAGGTCGGCGTATGAATCGGTAGGTAAATATTTTGTACCTATTGTTGTAAATTTGTAATGACGGTGGCGTGTGATTATGATGTAATGATGTTTAATAACTACCATTCATATATATATTATAATTATTCGATAAATTGATAATATTATGTTTATTTATCATAAGATAAAAATTAAAAATTATAATATGTTAATTTTAATTACATATTATTGTAATATCTAGTAAACAATAACATGCTGTAGAAACGGTTTGGTAGGTATAAGGAATAAGAAGTATGCAGTATGCTTAATGAAAAGACTGCGCAAATTTTTTAAGGGGCAACGTATAATTTATAAAGGCAATCAACAAAAACCATAAGACAAAATATGCAATACCTATGCACAAAGGCGATGCACATGTGCGAACTAGGACGAAAGTACGGTTCGTGTCGATCATACTTCTTATTTCTTATACAATGCCTACTGCCTAGTCTAGGTAGTAATGTAGTATAAAGACTGTATACGATATTATTTCGTGTATAATAAATTAGTATTTAGTACATCAATATCATAAATGTAAAATGCGTATTATAATAATTATCACGAACTCAAATATACTAGATACCTATCTTAGTTCGTGTTAGTTATACTATATTAGAATGCATAGATCTTAGATTAAAATTTTAAAATTTTTAAAACTGAGCTTAAAATTGTAATATGGTATTGGGGATGGTAATATTAATATATTATATAGTAATGTGGTTATTTTGTTCTTAATTTTGTTATTTATGGTTCTAATATTTTGTGGCAACTGTTGACTGCCGACTGGTGAACCTATATAGGATACAGATTGCAGGATACGCAACGAACATCTACTGATAACTGATAAGTGAAGCGCCTTCTCAGTTTTCACACTGCGGCAAGACGACTAGCGCTAAGCCGCTAATCCTAATATGTACGTGTGTTAATGTAATTTAGTTCCTTGTTCTCCCGGTACCACAGAATAATCCTATTTAGGCGCTAGTGGCTAGTTATCTTGCATGAGAATGTGATTGCTTTAAAAATATTACTGATAGCACATAGTTTCGTACTTTCGTATACAATATGGCAATATGCTAATCCGCGGCTTGGAGGGGCACGTCGTCGTCGTCGTCGTCGTCGTGCTGCTGATAACGTAAACAAAATGATTTTAAGCGTACAATAGTTAAATTCGAGTGCAGCAGCTCCTTCGAACGGCCGTCCGTCGGTTTTCGGCGTCCGCGATATTCAAATTCTTCGGTCGCAGCGAAGTTTTCACTCGTCTAGTCTAGCTTTCCCCTTCGTTCATCGTTTTTTCTCTTTACCTTCGTGCGCTGGTGGTGGTTGTAGTGGTGGTGGTGATCGGCCCGCCTATATTCACCGGATCTTGTTGACCATACTAGAGGTGGTGTCATCGAGACTTCGACACCGTGTCCTCTCCTCGGATACATATGTGCACGTACATCCTTCCAACATCGCCTCAACGAATCGACAGATGACGGTTTGATGACATGACTGACGAAAATTGGACTCATGTCAGCGACCGAAAGAGATATGGAATCGGTGAGTATAGTGCCTGGCTTGGGCGATTGATATACCTTGAAACAGAATATTGTATCATTAACACAGTTAAACAGTTTGAAACTATCAACATAGTCAGTGGCGTACCCAGGATTTTAGAACTGTGGGTCTGCCTTACTTACGAGAGGCCACTGTGTAGAAACTTCAACCAACTACCTATATAGTTAGGTATTACAAAGTCACTCTGGGCTCACGATTTACCTTATTAGTTATTTACATCACATTTTGATACCAACGTTCAATATAACTATATCACATATTTTTAAGTAAATTGTAAAATTTACTTACAAGCTTTAATAGCTATATTTAATTTATTTTTATTTTTATTTGTTGCATTAAAATTTATATTCAATTAAAAAATTACCTGACATATTTAAATCATTAGAAGAAATTATACAAATTTATTATTTTATTTGTATACGTATATTTGCAGTATATTTATTTTATTTTAGTTTTCAATGACTGATTTCATTTTCACAAGAGATATAGAATAGGTGGTTCTAAATTCTAATACAATAGAAAAGTCAAAAATAATACATTAATAAAATTTATATTTAATAATACCTACATGAAAATAATAGCAAAGAACTAGAATATTACAATCATTTTCTGCGCTTTTTCATTAGTGCGAATTATGTACTATATTATGTACTAATTATGTTAACAAAATCAATGGTTTGAGCTATGTTGCTTTCTATGCTCAATATGGCCAAATTTGATAGCTGGTCTTCAGTCATAGTTGAGCTAAGGCATGTTTTGAGAAGTTTTAGAACGCTAAAACTTCTTTCTGCAGTTGCACTGCTGACTGGTATAGTGTATAAAAAATTTTATACAAAGTATATAAATTTGGATATGAAGAAACCATATCTCGTGATATCATGAATTTTCAATACATCATTTAATTTTAAAGGTCCAGTTACTCCAGTTTCAATAGTTTTGCCATTTGTTGGTAAACTAGATGTAATGAACGGTATTCCACTTCTATATCAATTTCATCTATGTCAACTTCATAAAATCTTATATAATATCTATATCCAACATATTTTTATACTTGTGTTTATCGAATTTTAGGTACGTACATTATAAGTTGATAAGCTTAAACACGATTTCGTACGCGTTATTTTACTTCAATACTCAGTCTTCACAGCTGTATATACGATATACCCCTATATCATAATAGCAGATCTTCGATATTTTGAAGGGGGGGCACATATAAATTGTATAATTTTAATTTTAATTAATAATAGGTACATACACACTATCAATAATGATTATAATAAGTAATAATTAATAGTTGGTAGTATTATCCTTATCAACTGTATGTTTCATTTATATGATACTCGTAGTTACATAACAACTTGTCGACAGAAAATTGACAAGGGGAACGTGCCTCTCCTCTAAATTCACCACTGTACATAATTTTTTCAAATAAAAAAATGTTTATATAGTTTGCCATTTCGAGGGGCCACATTTAACTGGGAAAACAACTGTGGGTCAGCTGACCTCCCAAACCCCCCCCTGGGTCCGCCCCTGAACATAGTTATTTGTTTTTGCTGTCCGTGCTCTGTCCAAACTATGAGTTTTACTCTTCGCATATTGCTGTGAACGCTGGTAAACTCTTGGCTAAATCTCTCTCTTTAGTATTCAAGACATTGCCGGTTGTTGTTTGGTACTGAGGAGGTACATGATAATATGACACACTGATGTTTTTATTCTATATGACATATAAATACCCGATTTATTTTGATTGAATTATTCATAATATGTCCATACATTACATTCATATTAATATCACTAATTGTGATGTTTATTCAATGTTATTGGGTAGTTTTAATGTTTTATATTGGATATTTTCATTAGGGACTTTATTATTTTTAAATAAATTATAAACCATTTCAAGTATTTTTATTTACTAGTGATATGTCCAAATACCTAACAAAAAAATAATTAAAAAGTGCCTCATGCTGTGCCAATAGTTTTTGACGAGCAAGCATAAAGATGTATTATCTACGTAAATAGCTAACAGGAACTTACTAGTTCGTAGTTAATATTACATTTTCATATGAATTATAGTAGATAGAGTTATAAGAATTCTATTTACTTCAATGAGTCATTTTGGTCAAATTAATGACTAATGTACAAAACCAATAATTTAATAAAAATTGAAATCTATAAATAATATCCTACCTAATCAATGACATGAATAAAGTAATTTTCTTTATTTTACAAAATATAATTTTGCTATAAAATTCTCAAACACTATTTAGAAAATATATTGTTAATTATGTTCTCTTATCTCATTAAAAAACTGCTTGTAATTTTGTTAAATGTGTTGGCCATCAAATACAAAAAAAATATTGTTACTCCCATCATTACTAGATACAGGATGAGCTTGTTAGCAAATTTCAATGACATCTAATATTTATAATTGAGTGTTTTAAAACAACACCATGACTGCAAAAAGGGGACGAGCTATACTGTTTTATATTCCAACTATTATTAGCTGCCGTTCCATTTCATTTATTAATATAATTTATTAATTTGTGACCTGAATTTGTTTTGATTTTTAGCCATTCATAACTATCTTCAAAGTGGACCACATCGTATCAAACTGTTGGCCGGTGAATGTGTTCACGTTCTGGAAGAAAGTGCTGAATGGTATTACGGGTTCTCTTTTAAGAATAAATCAACCCACGGGATATTTCCTAAAAAATTTGTTCATATCATGGATAATGTTGTTGAAAAATTTGGGTTTGTTTAATTTTTTTAACTAATTATTTATTGATAAATAATTTTTTTATCATTATTAGGCCAGCGGAGTTGACAGTTTTGAAACAACCACAAATTGTTCATGAATTAACCAGTGTTATTCGAGAATGGGGTGCCATATGGAAACAATTATACATAGTAAGAATAAATCATTTTTACCTATACAAATAATTATAAAGTTTAAAAAAAATTTTTTCAGTCTCACAACTCAAATTTTAAGAATGTAAAAAATAAAATGTACGAATTAATAAACTTTAGAAGTAAAATATTATCTGGTACACTTCCAGTAGACGAGCTAAAAGAAGTACAAAGACTGGCTACATCTACCATAGATATTGGAAACAAGTAAACTAATTTCAATATAAAAATATTTTTTTTTAACAATTTAAAAAAATAGGTATATCATTATTATTATTCAAACAGTGACTCGTCAATGATGTAATTTTTTGATGAAATGACTTAACTTATATTGTTTGTTATTACTTTTTAGTAATTAAGTTAATAATTTTTTTTTTGTTTCTTTATTTAGATTATTAGGACTAGATATGGTGGTTAGGGATGAACAGGGTAATATTTTGAATCCATTACATACACCAACCATTCAGCTATACAAACATCATGAAATAGCCACTGAACGCATCCAAAATTCTCATGTAAAATTTGTGTTAATTTAATGTAACAAGATTGTTTTTAAATGTTATAATATTTATAATTATAGACCACTGGGGTGTATAAAAAGTCAATTCAGCAGATCAACTATTTGTATAACTACACTGTGTATTTATCTGTACACAATTTCATGTGCAAAATAATGGATGATGCTGAACTACTATTAACATTATATGATGCAAAGAGTGGTAAATCATTTTCTGAAAATTTTGCTATACGATGGGCCACCAATAAAATGGACCAGGGATGGTCACAGACTGATATTTTTCATAATTTCAGAGCTTTATTCACAGTAATATTCTAATTAGAATTTTTTTTTATAATCCTTTATTTACATGTACAAGAATACTCACAAATGTCACTATCTAATTTTTAGGACCTAGGAACCAGAGATTTAACTCGAGAGAAGGTATATTTAGTGTGTTATATAATACGAATTGGTGGTATGGATAATGATAGTAATAGTAAAAAGAGTTGGGCTACAACACAAATCCGTAGACCCTGGGGTGTTGCTGCTATGGATCTGACTTTGTATTTTACTCAAAAACTGGAGAGTGATGAAGACAAACATCATTTTATGCCATTTTTACCGTAAATATATTTTTATTTAATTTAAAATTAAATTTTTAGTTTAATTTGTTTTCTTATTTAGATGTGAAAAAGATAACCTAGAAAACACCTTGAAAAGGTATTTAAATCTTAGAGACTATTCTCATAAAGAACACAAAGGTCAAGGACTGTATGTCAGTTTTAAACTGCTTCATGGGGATATTAAACAGGTATGATAATAATTATTCTACTATTTTATTTATTATAATATAATTAATATATTATTCAATTGGTCTTAACTGGTAGGTGCGAGAAGAATGTCCACATTTAGTTCTTGGTAATGTTGCCTTAGTGAGAAAAATGGGATTTCCAGAAGTTATATTACCTGGTGATGTGAGAAATGATCTCTACTTAACGTTGGTAAATGGAGAGTTCTCAAGAGGAAGTTTGTCTTCATCGGACAAAAATATCCAAGTTACTGTCACTGCATGTAATGAAAAAGGTGTTAAGTTACTAGTAAGTTATGGTTATTTCTGATTTAAGGTATAAATATTAAATATTGAACCTTTAATATCTAATACTTATTTCAGGGTGTAATCATGCTGGGCGGGGACTCTGAACCTCTTTCTGATTTTAATTCTGTTGTTTATTATCATGAAGATAAACCTCGCTGGTATGAAATTGTGAAATTAGCCATACCTATAGAGGACTTTAAAGGTAGTCACTTGAAGTTCATGTTCAAACATAGATCATCAAATGAAACCAAAGATAAAAATGAAAAGCCATTTGCACTATCATTTGTTAAATTGATGCAAGATAATGGCACTACATTGAGAGACACATTACATGAATTGTTGGTGTACAAAGTACGTAGTATGAGATTTTCATTTTTCTATAAACTAAATATTTCATGTAAAATCCAATATATTTTATTACAGATTGATCATAAAAAATTTGATTGCATGGACATATCATATCTAAGTCTTGCTTCAAGAAAAAATGAATTAACCGAAACAAATAATCAAATATCTGTACCTGGACTATCCTTAGCTAATAAAGATGTATTTATAATACAGTCAAATATTTGCTCAACAAAACTAACACAAAATGGTATGTTAGTAAAATATATGTATGTTATATAATATAGTGTTTTTATTTTATTTTATTTAGTTGATCTCTTGGGTTTGTTGAATTGGACAAGTCATCCTGACAAATTACGTACTAGTTTATCTGCTTTGATGATAGTTGACGGCGAAGAAGTAGTTAAGTTCTTGCAAGATGTTTTAGATGCATTATTCAACATTCTCATGCATAATTCTGATTCTGATCTCTTTGATAACATGGTTTTTGAATGTTTGGTTAGTAAATATGTTTAAACAGCAATTTATATTATTAACTATTATGTCCATTATTCATAAATTTTAATGTTTATTTATTTAGCTGTATATTATTGGATTAGTTTCTGATAGAAAATATCAGCACTTCCAACCAGTTCTAGATTTATATATTAAAGAAAGTTTTTCTGCAACACTGGCTTATAAGTGAGTTATAACTTTAAATACATTTAGTAATGAAATGTTTTACGATGAATTTAATTATTGTATGTTCTAGTAAATTGATAGTAGTTTTAAAGTTCCATTTAAGTAACTTGGATCAAACTGACAAGGATCTCTTATTAAAAATAATGAAATCATTCAAGTACATCATGAAGTTTATTGCCAGATCTCGTTTTTTGTTTTCTCAGTAAGTGCTTTTGTTATTAGTAGTTTATTTTTAATCTTAATATAGAATTATATATTAAGATTATAATTATAACCATAGGTGGATAAGCATCCTTGGTTAATAGACAAATTCCCTTAGTATTTTTTTTTATGTGTGATAACACGGTAATCGGAAAAAAAATCCCCCGACGAACAACCCCGGAAAAAAAATCCCCAGTTACAATATTACTGACAATCACATGCAAATGGTTGAACAAATATATTTTGAACGTTAATTAGTATCTATAATTAATATTTAATGACAAATACGTATATTATATTCTATTATAATATAATATATTAAATTATATTGTTAAAAAAATTATAAAAATATTTATAATGATAGATACGTCAATTAATAATACAGTTAAAAACATAGTATACAAAAATATTATACAAAATATAGGTACCTATATATTTTATGTAGGTATAATTCTGTAAAAATTGAATTCCCGAAATAAAATATTGCGTTTTCTGTGACATTTTGACGATAAGCGGTTTAGTATGTACCTTTGATAATATATAATATAAGGTAAAGTTAGTTATTTAATTTGAATTACACATAATATATCATCGTAATTTAAAACAAAATATTAATTATAATATATAATTTTTTTAACAATATAATATAATATAATATATTATATTATAATATAATATATTATATTATAATATAATATAATATACGTATTTGTAATTAAATATTAATTATAGATACTAATTAACGTTTAAAAAATATTTGTTCAACCATTTGTAAGAGGTTGTGAGTAATATTGTAGTCTGGGGATTTTTTTTCCGGCGTTGTTCGTCAAGGGATTTTTTTTCCGGGGGATTTTTATTCCGGGATTCAATAACACTGGTCTATAAGCTTGACTAGGCTTGTTCCATAAACGCAGCATATTTTATGTCTGGTGACAAACAGAATCTTAGTAACTTAATTTTTAAAATCAGTTGTAGACACTGATTTTTAATTGAAAGGACACTACCACTGTAGTTGCACTCCTATCCAAAATAATTTGTTATCAATCATTAGTTTCCCATAATACATTTGTGTTAGTATATGACAATTTGCTTATATATATTTTATTAAATGCCTTATGACACAACAATCAATTAAGTCTTTCTTGTATCAAAAAGAAAGTTTTGGGCCATTCTCTGTATATTCACAATTACAAAAATGTTACTTATATATTACTGCTTATGATTTTAATTATGTTGTATTGATTGTTTTCTAGTGTATTATATGTTATATATTTATTATTTCTTTTTAAATAGATTGTATGAAGGCAAAGGACAACAAACTTTTGAAATGTCTATGTATGAAATGTTGAAGTTATTATCAAAGTTAATGTGTAGTAACTCGGATGCAACATTATTTTTACAAGGCGCATGTCTTAAATATATTCCTTATTCTATTCCCGACATAATGACTGTCTTTAGTACTACTCAATTAAGGTATATAATTGTATTACTTATACTATGTAAGTGTGGTTAGTATTAACTATTTTATCCCTTATTACTGCATTTCAAATTTTCTGTTTAAGTACATTACTGGTGGAACTCATTGGTAACTTGCCTCCATCCAGACTAGTGAAACAAAAGTTGATTACTATGAGCGATATAGTTCATAGCCAACTTTTTTTAAACTCAGATTGTCGTGCCATATTACTTCCATCTATTCTTGCTAGAATTAAAGAGCTTTTAGAGTCTTCTGATGAGGTATGTATTCTATTTAAAACTGGACATTAATTTAATGTATGCAAATATTTCATTTCAACCATTGAATAATTTTAATAATGTTTTTCTAATTTTAAATTAATTGATTGATTTTTTGTCATAAAATGTCTTATTTAAATGTATAGTTTAAGTTATAATAAATGAATGAAAATATTTGCTTATGTTTCATTAATGTTTTGTTGCATCTTGAGTTTTGCAACGTGCATGCTTGTGTTTTAAATACAAATTGTGGCACAGTTTAATATTCAATATATTTTAACCAACAATATATATTGTCGCATACTCACATACATAGTGTCTAGACTGTTTGTAAACAAATCAATATTCTGGACAGATATTATAAAATGTTTTAAAACCTTCTAGACACTGTGTATATAATGTATATTATACATTAATTTTTGTTCTAACCAAATGAAAATCTTTTTCATGTGTATAAAAACAAAATGGAATGAATTGTGTGTAACTAAAAATCTGTGTTAACATAATATAATTGTATAAATATTTTAACATATTTCAGTGTTATGAGAGTTTACCTCGTGGTTGCTTGTTGGCCTACCACTCACAGCACATTGGCAATCTTGATTTGTTTTGTGCTTTTATTGAAATTAAATTTACCAATTTCAATTATTTAAATGTTGCAAATACTAATATTAAATGTGGGTAAATTATTCAGAAAACTACCAAATCTATATTTATTCATTTAAAATGTATTTTTATCTTGATAATTTATGTGAAAAAATTCTTGACCTTTGCTATTTCTTCAGTATGATGAAAGTATAGTTTTGAATTCTTCTTGTTCTACAATTGGTTAATGTATTTTGGTATTAATTAATAATTAATATTTATTCACTTATTGAATTACTGTTATTAATTTTACATATTATCATTTTTTTTATTGCAAATGCTAGTGTTATTTTAAGTATGATATACCTAACTTAAGAAAGAAAATACAATTTAAAAATAATGAGGGATTAGATTTTGAATATCATTGACTAATTTTAATGTCATAACTAATGAAAACAAATTACTTGAATGGCTTATATACAATTTTATATTAAAAACAAACCAATAATATGTTTAATGCATGTTTGTTTTGGGATTTATAAAAAAAGATTAATAAATTAGAATTTTATTTGATATACTAATATTTCTACAATAGTAATGAGTGATGACTAATGACTAATAATATTGGCTTGGTTTTAGTTAACAAATAAAATTAACTCAACAGATTTTTTTTTCAATTAAGTATCTGTACCTATTTGTATAAGTTAAGGTTGACAGTTATCTATGGTATACCATCTTGTATTGGTATACCGGTTATTGCTTGGATGGTATACCATAATGCTGAAGTACCAACACACCGTTCAATACTGAAGTAATACTGTATGTATACTATATGGATTGACACTGTTGACTAGTTTTTTTTTCGTTATACTATAGGGTAGCCTGTATTCCCCGGGATATTACCGGTATACTGAAAAAAAAAAATATATAGAGACATAATTACCTATTTTTTATGAGAACCATTTAATTTTGGTGTCCTGGATTTCTTAACATTAAATGTAGCCACCTTAGTAAACTGGTTCTAATACCACAATTTCCTATCACTGTTTTTTTGGTATTCCAGTATTACGGTATACTGTTCCATACTAGAACCAATTTTATTATAGCAAAACCGATATCCAATTTCAATACTGTCAACCCTAATATAGGTAATTTTATTAGAGATTGATTATTAACTTTGAAAACTATTTTAAATGAAATGCATTATTTAATAGCTGCATATTAGAAACATTAGTTAATTTAATTTAAAATTTAAACTTGACTACATGAGAGTAAATTTGTGCTAAACAGTATTAAGAACTATAAGATGATTATACAATTTTAAAAATTAAAAAAAATTGATAAATTACCCCTACACTTACTTATAAAAATAGTCTTAATTTATTTTTAAAAAATAAGGTGCTGTGATTAAATCTATGACAATGTTTCATTAATATATACAATTATTATTTGCATTTTAATATAGATTTTTATTTTTATTAATTAAAAACATTGCATTGTATACCTGTTTAATATGCCATTTGTTTTATTTAATTTAATGTTTTTGTACTTAAGTACAATATTTTATGTAAATTTATATTAATAAATTAGGTATGTTATGATTTCTGCTAAAAAATAATTGAACATATTATTGAAATAGATAACATATAGCAGTAAGTAACAACACCATTAAATGCATTCAGTGGTGTATTGGTAAATATATTAATGAGTATACGCACCAATAAAATATGTATGTAACCTAAACGATCAAATTATATCATCGTATATATTATATAACGTTATTGCAGTTCAATTAGTACATATTTTTTAAAATTATTTTATTAATTTTTTTATAATGTAACAATAGAAAATAAAACAAAATCAACTCGAATGTCAAAAAAATTAAAATAATAACATTATTATTATAGGTACAATCAGACAATCTATAAAATTTTCCCCAAAGATTTTTTTGTATTCAATATTGGGTTTACTAAATTGAACTTAAACCCTTAAAATACATTAAACACAACGCATATTGTTATATAACTTATATTCAATACCTACTTCAATTGATAAATAATTCATTAATACATAATAACGAATAACGTTTTTTTCCTATATGAACTATTAAATACATTTTAAATCTTATTTGGTTTTCTGGTTATTTTGGAAACGTATACCCGTAAAATAAGATTTTACATTGGGTATACGCCGAAAATCAAAAATCTTCTGATGGGTATACGGCGTATACCCGCGTACCCGTACCAATACACCACTGAATGCATTTGCCTCAGAGAATATAATACATTATCTTTTCATAAAATATTGACTTAATACTACTATATAATAAACCATTAAATAATGCATTTCTCCCTGATAATTATAATAATAAAATAAAAAATTTAATGACTTAAAATTTGAAAAAAAACAAAACATCAAATTAATAATTACTTTTTATGTAATTTAAATAATATATATTTTTGGTTATAAACAAAACGAGCTCAGTTTATACTTAAGAATTGATCCACTTCTGTTTTTTGTTCAACATAATATAAATATAAGGTACTTAAAAGAAAAAGAAAAAAAAATCTTCGTTAGGTGATGTTTAGTAGTAGTATTTATTAACTCCACCAGGCGAAAACTAGCATCGAGTTTCGAAACAAAACAAAATCAGTAGCAAAAATTGCCAAAGTGCTGGGAGAAAATGGCCGCAAGTTACTAGACTCTCCTGACATGAGTGATCAAGTATGTTAACTATAATTATATATTCATACACATTAAATGGTCCTAGGTTGTTTACTTTAAAAGTTTAAACTTAAAATAGATTAATATTTAAACTTTGTATTATCAATTATGACACCAATACATTATATAACTACCTATAACATAACAGTTAAACGTAAATGTCTATATGGATTTTAGTAATTTAGTAATTAATAATCCCTGGACAACTAAAATGTATACAGAATTAGAAGATAAACTCTGATTATGCTTATTTGAGACCGACCGTTTTTAAGGAATACAAATAGGCAATTTCCTAAGTGTAGGAACCCTAGTGTCCTAAAGTGTTGTATATCATATAAATGTGTGGATAGTAAGTAGTAACTAGTAAGTTATCATAGTGTGTGTCTGTAGCGTAAAAGTAATTGCCGAGTGCTCCTGCCCAAGCACTCACATGTGACTTTTCTTTAACACACTATACGAATATTAATTATTTGTTGTTTTTTTATAATGAAAGTATCAATATTTTGCCAATTACATAAACTTATCTATTTATCCGATTAAATGTCTGAAAAAATATTTGAATTTGATATTGTATTATTAACATTTTACAATTTTTAATATTCAACATTTAAACACCAAATTTTGAAGGGTTCTATTTCAAAAAAGTGGAAAAATTGTTACAAAGTAGTAAGTAAACTTCATTAAGTATTCAAATAATTTGTTTTCAGAAGTTGTATCTGATTATTTAGATAGTCAATTGGCATATTATTAAGATCTACTAGGTCATAAGGAATAACATTCTTCCTCAAAAACAAAAATAATGTATTCAGAGCCCCAAGATTAAAATAATTAATATTATTTTTTTATGACTTATGTTTTTAATTGGCTCATTATGTGAAGGAAGATCTTAATCGGCCATCCCTCTAAAATTCAATAAAATTTCCGCCTATAAACAGATCCATTTTGTAGGAAAACAGCCAGCATCAAATTTCCATAAAAAATTCAAACCAAATAAAAATATATTTATCAGAACTTAAAGTATTCTTAGTAAGGATTTTCATCTTATGTTATATCCATATTTTGTTGTCTCTTAATATTTATTCTTTTTTTCGTATACATTTATTATTGTGAAAAAATTATTTGCCAACTCTTATATTTTGGAATATGGTTTCTATTTATGGTCTTTTAAGTGCTGTTTATAAGTGATAATATTTGAGTAGGTAATGTTTTTTTTAATTTTGTTTACATAAACTTCTTACTTTTATTTCTCGTATAAATATTAAAATATACCATAAATATTGGCTTTGTTGATAGATTTCTTTATTTGTATGCAAATCAAACAATTTATTGCATTTTTACGATTTTGCAATGTTGTGTATTGTTATTTTAGGTATTTTTTGTTTTTTGTATTTGTGAACTTAACAATGTATTGTAGACCTCGCGGACATCTAATTTGATGAAAATATAGTAAATCATGTAAAAGTTTAATTTATTTTTAAGATTGTGTCCATTGTATACAGGTCGAAATGTGTGTAAAACTATTAGGCGACATCATGGATCTTCTGTACGTGGCGGACACGGGATCAACATTTCGCGATATAACAGAAATAATGCTCACTGTCATGCGTACTGTAATTCAAACCACCATAGCGATGAACCGTGAAGGGACCCTAGTGGTAAGTGTTTTCTGATGATGATTTTTTTTTAACGACAACCTATATTTCTTATATCATAACATGAAGCAAAATAATTTTAATTTTTAAAAAATTTCGATGTGTACATATCAATAATCGAAATCATAATTTTTTTCATTAACAAGAATTGAAAGGTTACAATAGTGAATAGCGACAAGAGTGTTCACTTTTAAAATAATCATTATTTTCCATTTAATATCGGCAAACAATTTCTTATTTGTGTGCTGTAGGGCTACCTCGTATCCATCATGATATCAACATTGCGCCAGATGACTGCCGAACACTTTGACATCTACATCAAAAACTTTCCCACCAATATCGACTTGTTAGATTTTCTCATGGAAATACTGCTCGTCTTCAAGGATCTTGTTATACGGCCGGTGTTTCCCAAAGACTGGTGCGAGATGATAATGCTTCAGAACAGGTAAGACGTCGCTACAATGTGTGAATACCTTTCCAGTTTCCCCTCCAAAAATACATCACATAATTGTATAATACATATTAACTTGTGAAAAGTTTTAGTTTTGGATCATAATAATGTGTGCCAAACCCGCAAATTACTAACTTCTTCCTCCTCCACCTCCTTCTCAAAATCTCATCAGAGTCTCGGTATACTGTTTATATCACCTCCTTGTAAACAAGTTTACGCTGGTTGTTGTAAACTGCAGGTTTTGCATGCTCGTCTATATACGCTAAGCGCACAAGATTCACTGCTATTATTTAATGAAATTATGTTTCCTTACACAGTGTGATATTGAAGTCGTTGAGATACTTTTCACACACGATCCGTGACTATTTCTTCAAAGACTTCGAACACCAAGCGTGGAATAACTTCTTTCATTGCGCTGTCACGTTCTTGACGCAGCCGTCTCTTCAGCTGGAACAGTTTTCATCCAATAAACGTTGGAGGATCATCAGTCGGTACAAGGACATGCGCAGGGAAACCGGATTTGAAATACTAAGCATGTGGTTTAACTTGGGTAAGTCTTGCATAGAACACTGGAGTGGCATTGTGTCACCATGCTGTTCTGGGTGCCTGAGTTAATTTTCAGTTCTAAATTTTGTTTTCATTGTTTAATAGGGCAGTACAAAGTAAATTTCGTTCCTAGTCTGGTGGGCTCTTTCCTAGAGATGACATTGACGCCCGAAGTCGAGTTGCGCAAAGCCACCATACCAATATTCTTTGATATGATGCAATGCGAGTTTTATTCATGTTTCGATGGTCACACAAACAAACGGGACTCGAGTAACATCAAAGCTAAATTCAACGATGTAAGTCTAATTTATTAAATTCTATTAAAATATCCTATTCCATGAATTTGTAATAGTAAATAATTTTGTAATGTGGCTTACTAAATTTATTATATTTTACAGTTTGAAAACGAAATGATTGCCAAACTTGATCACTTAGTTGAAGGTGGTAAAGGCGATGAACAGTTCAAAGAACTTTTCGAATCTGTAATGTTAAGGAAGTGTGAAAATCATTCTACCATGAGAGATCAAGTAATTAAAATATTTAATTCTCAAAGTTAAAGAACTTTAGAAAGTAGATTTTGCCTCAGGATATTAAGTACTATCCTTCATTAGCTGTAAACTTTTACCTAATTAATCCAATTTTTTAAGTACACAAAATAAATTAAATATTTCTAATTATGAAAAAATAGTTACAACTTACAAGATTTGAATATTTATAACCAATACAGAAATATTGAATTCCTATTATTTTGTTGTATTATGCAATAAAAGTTATACCAATACCAATTTTTTTTAATGACACTCATGAATTTATTATTATTTATAACTTTGTAAATATTAGTATAATTATATTGTTTATGTCAAGTAAAGTAATGCATTTAAATTTCTATTAACATTTCTCATGAACTAAAATTGAATAATATATTACTTAATAGTTATTCTTTATGCAGAAGCATAACCATTTAATTAAAGCACAAATGTGTAAGGTTATCTCTGGGAAAATAATATTGATTATTGAAAAGATTGAAAAAAGTGATACACTTGACATGCCACACTCGCAATATACCTAACAGTACTATACCTACAAAAACAAGTATATTATTCTTTCTGCATAATTTTTGTTTTTCTTTCTACTAAACTTAAAAGTTTCTTATTTCTAAATATATGAGTATAATTTTACTGAAGTTTTATTGCACCTACATGATGTTATTAGAATTAAAAATCTCACCAATATCTAAAGAAAAAAATAAAGCATATTATACATTTTCAAACTGACTTTTTATTGAATTTTAGGGTAATCGATTTGTTAAAATAGTTACCGGTCTTCTGGAACGATTGCTAGAATATCGAGCCGTCATAAATGATGAAAACAAAGAAAATAGGATGAACTGTACTGTTAACTTATTGGTAAAAAAATATATAAAATCTAATTTAAATGTAATGTTATGAGTTATACAAACTGTTTCTTTTCATTTAGAATTTTTATATGGATATAAAACGTCAAGAAATGTACATCAGATATGTGAACAAACTGTGTTCTCTTCATTTAGAATGTGATGACTTCGCCGAAGCTGCATATACTCTTAGATTACACAGTGAATTACTATCGTGGTCGAATGATCCATTGCCACCTTTATTACGATCTCCATTGAGGTACCCAACATGCGACACACACAGACAATTAAAAGAAGCTTTGTACCATGACATCATTGATTATTTCAATAAAGGAAAAGTAAGATGTTTGTTAACTTCAAACAGTTTTACAGAAATTATATTACATTATTTTTCAGATGTGGGAATGTGCTGTGTGCATGTGTAAAGAACTAGTTAGACAGTGTGAAAGTGAGACGTATGATTATATACAGCTAAGCTCATTATTACAACGTATGTCAAATTTCTATGATAACATAATGAAGCAGCTCAGACCTGAACCAGAGTATTTCAGAGTTGCATATTATGGCAAAGGTTTTCCTTCATTCATACAAAACAAAGTTTTTATATACAGAGGCAAAGAATATGAACGTCTAAGCGATTTCTCAAACAGGACACTGAATCAATTTCCTAACGCTACTTTAATGCAAACATTATCAAAACCTGGATCAGAAATTACTGAATCTTCTAATCAATGTATCCTTTTAAAAATTAAATTTTTTTATTGAAATTGTGGTGAATTTTCATGACTGAAATGTTTTTATAAAATAATATTTTATGTTCTTCAATAAATTATTAATTAATAATACACTTTCAAACAATAATAATTTTATATTTCAATATATTTAATTCCCTTAACACTATAATTAATACAGATATTCAAATTAATAATGTTGAACCTGTAATGGACGAACGAAAAGAACATTTATTAAGAAAACCGATCAGCCAGCAAATACTTAGACATTATAGGTAAACTATTAAAATAATTGACAATCTAATGATATAATTGATAATAAATATTTTTGTATTATTTTACTATTTTAGAGTGAATGATGTGAAGCGATTTAAGTTTTCAAGACCATTTTACCGCGTAGATCCTAAGGCAAACTCAAATGATGATAACGAGTTTGCAAATCTATGGATTGAACGCACAGTGTTAGATACGACATATTCATTACCTGGCATACTACGATGGTTTCCAGTTAAACATTTTGATACATATGAAATAAGTCCGCTTAAAAATGCAATTGAGACTATGCAGGAAACAAATAAGTAATTAATGTCAAAGTATTCTCAAATTAGTATTCAAATTATTATTTTTTATTGTAGGTATCTAAGAGAGTTGATAATAGCTCATCGAAATGACTCAACACTGCCATTGAATCCTTTGACTATGAAATTGAATGGCATACTGGATGCAGCTGTGATGGGTGGAGTGACGAAGTACGAAAAAGCATTTTTTACCTCTGAATATTCGGTGAATCACGAAGAAGATGAACAACTTATTGAAAAGTTAAAGGATTTGGTTGCTTCCCAAATACCATTATTAGATATTGGTGTAAAAGTACATAGCGCACGTGCTCCACCATCGTTGACACCTTTACAATCACGATTTGAAGACTGTTTTGAAAAAATGAAAGTGCATATTGAAGAAAATTATGGCAAAAAGGTACATAGAATACAAATCACAAATTGTATAGTAATTTTTTTATTATTGTTGAGTATTTATATATTGTTATTTCTTATAGACGTGTGATATTAAATTTGATGTGGTCAAAATGAGAAGACATACAACTGCTGGAAGCCGTTTTAACGAAAAAAGATATTCTGGTTCTAGTATTGGATCAACAGAGTGAGTCAGTAGCTTAATTGCGAAGGGGGCAAGGTATCATCGCAAGCATGAATCAAAGGAGAGAGGGCAAGGGGATTTAGCCCCCCTCCTTTGCGGATAAATGTTATATATTATGTATTTATCGGTATAATTAATTTTTATTTACAGAGGACAAAATGGTATAACTAAGCAATCTCTTATGTCAACAACTTCATTATCTTCCAGCCTGGCTATCTTTGCAGGACCTGTATTAGTGTCTGGTTCGAATAAATTTGGTACTATTGGGGCACTTACAAGGAAAGATAAAAAAGAAAAAAAAAGACGTAATAGGACTGTATCAAAAATGGCAACAACAAATGATAGAGATTTGAGCATTTCTAACAGCTCTTCTAGCAATAGTCAATGGTATGCACTGCCTGATGCGGACAATATGTCTTTGAGTTCTATAAACAGTAATCTGAGTGTATTTTCTTCTCCTACACCTGTCATTGAGTTACGGCAAGAGGTAATTACATTAATAATTCAATAATTATTTCTCAATGAAAATAATAACTGTTTTGTCATAAAACTATAGCTGACACCCAAGAGGCCACTTCGCTCAGAAGTGGAAAAAGAGAGACGTTTAAGTCGACCCAATAGTGGTCAGTATCAATTTTCAAAGTTACCATCCATGAATAGTATTAATAGAGATTCTTTGGGTAAGTAAACACTATAATATTTGACTAGAGTATTATTGTTACATTTTTTCTGTTATTCTTACAAGTAGCAACAGATTCGACGGCAAGTGATGATGACACTCCTCCACCACTGCCTGCAAAGACCAGAGAAGCTGATTACTCAAATCTCTCAGACAAAGACAGTTTGGGTCTACCGGATTATTGTAGTCCTATTATAGTGAACAACATTATGGTCAGTATTTGTTTTTTATTCTGTAGATCATATTATAATATATATTAGTAAAATACTAAATAGTTTTTTATTGTTGCATGTCCAGTCAGAACAGCCGTTACAATTAATCAACTCACAAGAAAACAATAGGCCGCCAACACCTCCTCCCAAGAAACCCCCAATGAAAGCTCCTGTGTAAAAAAATGTAAATAACGTTTATTTATAGCTTTTCCTTTTTATGTATAAAAAAAAAACAAATGAAGCTGTGACCAATGAAGAATGATTTTATTATTTCTGATATTTATTAATTAAGATCATACAATTTATTTAGTATAACCATATAACTATATTATACAATTAAATTAAAAATATTTATACTAAATAGAAAATTCCAAATCTTATGTATCTTTGATGATTCACTGATCCAAATATTGTATTAGTTTATATTAATATGATTACAGCCTCATTTTTTTTTTTTTATCTGTGAACCATTTTGTTTTGTATTGAGACCTATTGGTGCAATATTCGTATTATGTGCTAAAAAAAAAAAAAAAACTTTACTTTAATCTCATTTACAGATATTATTTGTTTTAATTTATTATATTCATATATTTGTGTGTTAGTAGAAGAATATTATATAATAATATGTTAGTGAAAATTGTGTAGAATAGAAACTTCATCTTACAATTGTTTGCGAAATGTACCATCTGATTTTATAGACTGCTTTTTCTCTCCTCTTTTGTAATATTTATATTTTGTCGTATATGAATATATATTACATGTATAGTGTATACGAATGTACACCAATATATTTATATATTTACATATTTTAATAATAATGTTAAGACAATAGTATTCAAGTTGCTCAAAACAACCTGTTTACAAAAAAACTATGTCAGTAAACATGCAGTTACCATTAACAAAAAAAATTACCAGAGCGCTTGTCAATTATTTTTACACAGATTTTGCAACAAATCCAATGGTTATTGTATTTTTATAATATATCACTAATATATTTCTGTAATTTTATACATATTTTTGTATTATTTAAGTGATAACAAATTTATTGTTTTTACTACAATCTGAATTTTTATTTTTGTGTTTGTCGTGTGTTTGTGTATTTTATACTTAAATATTTTGTAGTTTTTTTTTTTCAATGATGATGAACATTATTTGCATTTCTATTATATTATATGTATATTCAATATTGTTCAGTCATTCAGATTTACCAAAGGAATAAATGTTTTAAGTATTATTGTGTGATTGATTTAACTACAACATAGGTATTATTATTTGTTATTATTGTCTTCGAAATATTATAATTTATAATATCAATAATAAAAATATTTTACATAAAAGCTTCAGACTTCAGTGTATGTACCTACTTCCTGACAGCTTGCATGCTGTTAATAGGTGTGGATGGTCAGCTGCATAATAGTATGGTTGAGTATATAGGACCAAGCCAGGGGCAGATCTAGAGTTAGGAAACTGTGGGTCAGGACATTTCAAGGGGCCACTTATTAATACCAGATTAGAAATCTATACTTGTGTACTAGGTATATAGAACAAAAAAAAATTAATTTATACGATACGTTTGTTTATTTAAGGGTCCAAGTATCCAACTACCCAAGATCTGGAAAGAGGACAATTTGATCAGCAAATATTAACTGTGTTTCAGCTGACCTCCTGACCCCCCCCCCCCAAAAAAAATGTATTCATAGCCCTCATACGAAAAAGTTCTTACACAAATTTGGAAAACCTAAATAGGAATTGTAGTAAGTAACCTTTGCAATTCCTTTGAACTTACATGATAAGGACAATTACTTGTGTAAGGGCCTTGGTTCCTTTATGTTACAAAATGGTTGTGGCAGTTATAATGATAGTGGTGATACGATGTGAATATTGTGAAATAACGTAATTTTAGTGATAAAACGCCAGAGACAGAGAGGCCTCTCATTTGGAGAATTCGGGAAACACGCTACAACTTAAACGCGGCTGTTTTAGTTTCTTGTAACTTCAAACAACACGCTTACGCCACATAATAGATTACATTATTTCAGTAAATACTAAATAGTGACACGTGCGAAAGTATGGAATTTAATTAGTGTGGTATTCAGATTCTACTTGAATGAATTGTGATTTCATTCAAATACGTTGTAGTAAATTTCATTAAAATTGCCTACTCAAAACCTCGTGACGAGTGGTTTTGTGGTGTAAGTATGTGTAACGCTGTCATATACGATTAGGTTTCTATATTTTTAAATTTGTGCCAAATGAAAATCGTTGTAACATACACTCAGTCTTGTAAAGAATACTTTTATTTTGTATTCGGAATACATATTCGAATAAATGAGAATTAAGGTATTCAGAATACGTATTCGAATAGTTCTTAAAAAATATATTCAGAATACATATTCGAATACTTTAAAAAGTATTCGAATACTATTAGAATACTTTTTTTCACAAATAATTGTTGTCAGTTTTTGAATGGTTGGTAATTACTAATTAACATTTATTAATTAATAATTAAAATTACTTTGTAATCATAAGCTATTTATAAATTTTGACCACATATGATACGGCCGATACGAAGTATACGTGATAAAACACATTGGTATTTATAAAAATAATCATTTCATGGGCCAAAATTATATTTCTTTCAAAGAATAAAATTAATGTTCATGATTTATAATATATGTCTTGTCACAAATTTAAAACTATTTTACTGGATCGGAAAAAGTATTTTTTTAATGAATAAAAAATACAAATAAAAGTATTCAGAATACGTATTCGAATACTTTAAAAAAAAAGTATTTAGAATAGTATTCGAATACAAAAAGAGTATTCAAATACTTTTATTCGAATACATTTATTCGAATACTTTACAAGACTGCATACACTCGAACCACGTCATAAACTATAATACTGACCGTGTACCGCACAAAATAAGACATTATATTATACCAGCAGTGGCAGATTTAAGGGAGCCAGAGGGGCCTAGCATCTAGCTTCATAAATTTGGCCGTTTTTAAATATTTGTGTCTTAAAACTTGGAAAAAGACCCCCCCCCCCACACACACAAAAAAATAAATTCTAGATTCGCCACTTTATATCTTTAATGTACACTAAAGAAAAGTGGGTGAACGTTGTAAGTTCTGACACAACTGCAGGGCTTGTAAATATTTTTTCTGATTTCGATTTCGATCTCATTAACCACAAACGTCAGTGTAAACTTGTAACTTGTAAGTATTATTTTTTATTTTATATGTTTTATATATTATGAATTATGATTATATGTATTATTTATATTTAGATCACCTGTATATGGTTATACAGTCGGACATCTAATACCCAAGGGGAGATGGGAGCCCCCTGTCCATAGCTAAAAAATATATTAATGTTTAACAACATTTTAAATTAGGGTGAAAATTAAAAATGCACTTGGATGTCCCCCCATCTGCCGATAAATATGTTTACCTACTTCCTACGCCCTTGTCTATTCCAATTGTTTTATTACGGAGAAATATGACATTATATGATCCCACTTAGACGTCCTTCAAAAATAAATCATTTTTTTTTCGACGTTGAGCTCTGTTACGATATTACGATATTTTTGATTTGTTTGCGCGTAGTATATGTAGAAAATCATCCGCACAAAATCTGGTGGTCTCCAGCCCTCACTTATTTTGACTTCTGTACAAGCCACTCCGGCCATAATGAGGGGTTCGACCTCTACATCGATCCAATTTGTAATGTATTGTCGTAGTTTATGTCATATACTCATATATACCTATATATAAGCACGCCGGCACTATGCGCCGTCATCGCAATGTCGTTCGGAAAAACTTATACCGTGAACGACTACGACTGCAGCCTCGCAGGATCGTCGTAGGAGATATATATAGCAGTGGTACCTATTGGTTAGCTGGTATATAGGCTGTGACCACAAGTCAAAATAGGCGTAAAACGTATACCTATATAGACTTAATAGAGAGCTTTCCGTACAGTCCTAACACGAACGGATAGAATTTTTCAATTATTATGTGATCATATTTTGTACGTATGTTCAACCGCGGACGCTTTATCTAAGGTCATATACCCGCGGTGGTAAGCTCCCACTGCCCTCCCCAAAACGTCGACTAGTGGGCACTGACTATATGGGGGTTCAACGACGGCCATCGCAAGCGGTCAGCTGCAAGCATACCGTCAACCCGGGTGACTTGGAACGATTTTCACTTTTTAACTACTGTAACACATTCATTATTGATAATTAAATTCTGTAAAAAAATCATGCAGTGTCGCACTCCTCCAAGGAATAGATTGAGCAAAAAAAAAATAAAGGTCTTAAGTAAATTAAGGTAAAAAAAAAATAAAAAGTGCTTGTTCCAATTCGCCCGGTTTGACGGTACCTATATAATATAGGCGGACGGCCTAGATTTGTGAAAAACTACCAATCGACCGCGGACTTGCGGCGGAAAACGATTCTATTGTTATATAATACATATATATTTAGACTGCGTGGAAATTTCCACGTCTGAGGTATACCCATTGCGCCATCGGGTCGTTTCGAAACTGTCGTTTTATTTTCTTCACATCGTATTGGTATTGGTATTGGTATCTATATATATATGTTCTGAAGCCTGTAATACAGAGGGATAATAAGCTCGTCCAGACGACTGTAACGAGCGCGATGTAGGTGTCGGCGGTGGAGGAGGAGGCGGTCCCTGTAGACTGACTATAATAATACTGTGGCAGACAGTTCTTACGACCGAACAACTGCAGCACGACTGGGGATGAAAAAATATACCGGAAATAGGAAATTATGATGCCTATATAGTGCGGATCCAACCGATTTCCCCGTTTCCGTGGACATAATATTATTTTCTTCAAACCGATGCCTATACATATTATACACCTACGAGGTAATGTTGCAAAATTTGTAATTCTTCGTACAAATGCGCCGCATTGCTATATTGGTAATTCTGTGTTCAATTCAAAATTTGTGGTGGTCTCGGATAAGGGACATAATAAATTCATAACCAGTAACCACGGCCCGTACTGAAATTTCAGGTTCACTCAAAACCATATATAGGTGCTCTGGAGGAGGGGGGCAAAGTAAAATATTAAAAAAAAATACTCAACAATTAACAAAATGTATTTTTATGTTGTTTCAATGTTTTGGATGGGGGGGGGGGGTGG